TATTATCTGTAGGAGATGAGAAATATACTCTTTGAGAATCTGCAGTGGCCTAACTGGAAAATCTCAAAGTCCAAAGGCTTCATTGAGAACTTTAATCCTGAGGAAGCCTGCCAAAGATGTCAAAGGGTTTGAAATAGTTAAGCAAAATAAGGTTGCACATCACTGTGAATTAATAATCCTTCATTTAACCAGTGATTTAACCAGAGTTAGAAATCAGATATATCAGAGTTATAAAAGGATTAAAAAATATTAAAAGCAAATACATGTTTTAAGAAAATTTAACTTTTAATGCTCATTTACCTAAGTAATAAAATACCTATAAAGTTAACAGAAATCATAAATTATCTTCACAAAGAAATTTGCATTTGTTAATTCTCAGAAGACTAAGATTGGATGTTCTATTCAATCCAACTATTCCCCCCTGGGTATTTTCTCAGAAAAACTGAAAAGGTCATATCACAGTGATATATGTATACCCAATGATCATAACAGCACAATTTTTTTTTGTCTTTTTCATTTTTATCGGTACCGGGGATTGAACTCACAACCGCCTGCTTGCAAGGCAGGTGGTTAATGCCGCTGAGCTAAATCCCCAGCCCCTTATAGCAGCACAATTTGTAATAGCTAAATCTTGGAACAAAAACAACAAGATGCCCATCAACCGCAGAGTGGATGAAAAAGATGTGGTATTTTTATACAATGGAATATTACTCAGCTATAAAAAGGATAATCTTGAGGCCTTCATAGGCAAATGGAAACAACTTGAGGCTATCCTCACTAGTGAAATAAACAAGAATCATATTCATAAATATCACCTTGTGTCTCTAGTGTAAAAAGTAATAAGAAATGTACGAGTTATAAACCCAAAATGTGTAATTGGTATTATAAAAAAGAGAGAAAAAGAAAGTGCTCTAAAGGATATAACTACATGTATGTTTAAGTGTGTAGGATTGATAACCATATTACTAAGTTTTTGTTGGATAGTTGACCAGAACTGTTTACAGTTCTTGCTGGTGAATGTCTACTTTGTATGCTTCACTTTTGTAACTTGAACAACTGTTTGTAAGAGGACAATATGTAATTATTAACTAGTGATTTTTACTGTTTATTGTTTTGAAATTATGCATTATTTATACCCCTTTTCTGTTTTGTTTTTTTCTTTAAATAAAAAAATTTGAATTTGTTAAGCCAGTTATTGAGAGATAAAGAAAAATCTCTTGCCATGTCATTGCTTGTATTTATTCCAGATCTGTTTAAATAACTTTCTATTAAACCTCACGAAACAGTACTTGAATGTATTTGGACACAGGCAGAATGTGTATCCCAGTTATGATTGTATATCTTAGTAAACAAGAAAACTAGAACCTTGAGCAGGGCAATGCAGGACTCTTGGAAATAGTAAAATCACTTGAAATTGGTTCCACCAAACAATTTAAATACAGGCAAATTAAGAGTAAAGAACCAAGTTATCCTAGCCTTTCAAATAAATATTTGTGGTATCATCTCAATAGCCAAGTCAGACTTGTTGTACCCCCAAAACAAGCTCCGTGATGTTGTCAGTTGTCAAGAAGGGGACAAGACATGTTTTAAAAAGAAGCACTTTTAGTTAAGCTGGTATCCAGCAGCATAGTGCAGATGGAGTTTGCAAAGCTGTGCAACTGGGTTAGAATTTTGACGGATTTTTATAGTTCATTTACGATTAGCTCATTGACCACTTAAGTACATAGTGATGAGAAACAGAAACAAGGTGGGCCTTTGTTCCCCTCTGCTTGAGGTCGGAGGCATTTCACAGTGGGTGGTTAGCCAATTCATAGCCCTTGGTCTGCCAATTCCAGGAACATTTGTTTCTTACAAAGGGAACAATGGTTGACACAGCAAACAGGTTACTCAGGGACGAGGCATACAGAACAGCATGATGATGTGGTCAGTTAATTTATAACTATGTGGTTGGTGCTTCGGAGTTCCTAGGGTAACGAGCACAGCTCAGAATGACAGTACTGCTAATAACTAACTATCGTTTAACTATTTTTGCTAATAACTATCTTTTTAACTTTGCATTTTAGTTTTTTAGCATTTTAGTACAAGACTAGGGAGGAGAAAAAAAGCTTTCAGGAGATGACTAAAAAGTTAAGGCAAGAACACCAGCTAGTGGAAAATGCAGTTCACAAAAAGGTTTTTAAAAAACAGATTTCAAAAATATCAAACCCTCTTGCAGATTTTTCCTAGGAGCAGATCAGTATTTCAAGAAAGCTTGCTTTAACCATAATATCTTACATTCCAGTTTCATATGGTGCATTATTACTTAATTTTTAGAAAAGCCTATAAGCTATTTTCTTTTCATTATACCCAACTTGATCACAGCTACATTTTCTTTCATAAGATTATTCCTTTATAAACCTTTCCTCACCTCTGTAGCCTACTTGAACATTTAGTTTTGCTGTTCCCATTCTGGACCAATCTAAGTGTTCACCTTAGGACAAAACTTTTATTCTTCCATGAAAATGACCTTGCATACTAAAAAATTCTTAATGTTACTCACAAGCAGATTCTCAGAGTTACACATTTTTTTTTGCATTTTGCATTTTGAAAAACTCACTAAGAAAAATCTCCAAATTTAGAGACAAACATTCCTTTTCCTCAAAGAACAAATTTTATCTCATAATTTTTCTCATCCACAGCACAGCTCTCTTTTCTTATATTTTCTCATATAAAATTAATATATTAAAATAGAATTAAACTCATAGTAAACTTACTTTTTAGTGAAGACCCAGTAATAAGTAATGTCAACATCTTATGAAAGCATATTTTATAATTTCTATATAATTTTTATTATTAAAATATTTAAATGTGAAATCAAACTAACATGTATATATACATTAATATATTTTCTAAATTATTTAAGAAGCCAGGAGTACTAGAATTTATATTAACTAATTGGCATTTCATTATATTGAAAATAATGCAGACATTTTATGTGTATCTATTACTTAAATTAATATAACTTTAAAATTTCAAACTTCATGAAAGTTCATTTATAAACATTCTGTTTATTTTTCTCTAATTTTACTCTTAAAAATTTTGCCTTCGTTACTTATATAACTGAGGTATTAGACAGCCATGATCATTGTTTCAAGTTGTTCCCCTGTCACAGAAAAAACCTTAAAGTGCTGTACTTGAGGGACTGAGGATTTAGCTCAGCGGCATAAGCCCTGCCTTGCAAGTGTGCGGTTGTGAGTTCCATCCCTGGTACTGATAAAAACAAAAAAGACCAAAAAAAGTGCTGTACTTGATACTCATTTATCTGTAAGCCAATTTGAATACAATTCTTTTAAGTTTTTTTTACCATTGGAAACAAAATACACCATATGCACACATATAATGTATGTAAACACATATGTCCAAAGATTTTATAGTTTTTTAGTCGTGAGACAAAAAAGGAAAAGCAATGTAACTCACCTGTTCATATAAAGACTGTTGAATCCAAATTGTATTTCTAACAAAATTGGAAAAATTAAGGTCTTCTGTTTGTATGTCTCAACATGAAGGATTTTATTTGTCTTGATCCATAGTCTTACTTTTTGAGACAGGGTCTCACTATGCAGTTCAGACTGGCCTTGAGCTCACTTGTAGCCCAGGCTGGTCTCAAACTCACAATGATCCTCCTGCCTCAGGCTCCCAGATGCTGGCATTACAGGCGTGTGCCACCTCACCCAGCTGATCTTTTAAACATTTGTGGACCAAAATTTTGGTTAAAGCAGTTCCCATAATAAGACAGTTAGGGACCACTATGCTGATGTGACAGAAGGCTGGAATGACAAAATAAACCTTAGAGACAGCAGCATAGCATGTTCCACAAACCCATCATGCAACCACAAAAGCAGAATATTTGCGTGAAATGAAAAATTGTCACCAAGAAAACCCAAGTGAGCCCTCTAGCTTTACTTCCTCTTTAGACTGCTTAAAAACCACTGATTATGAAAGTTACAAAGCTGGGCGATGCTCTCAGTTTCTACTGGCTTTGCTATGGACCTCTAAGGTGGGGTTTGATAATAGTTCCCTAGGTTTCTTCCCAGAGACCTGAAGGCTGCTTTTGCTGAGAACATGGACCCTTTACTTGAGCCTACAAAAATTTGATGAGCCAGGCGTACACACCTGTAATCCTAGGAGGCTGAGGCAGGAGGATCACTAGGAGTTCAAAGCCAGCCTAGGCTACATAGTGAGTTCAAGGTCAGTCTAAACAACATAGTGAGATCACATCTCAAAGAAAGAAAAAGATTCAATCGGATGAGTCACAAAAATGGAATTAAAAAATTGATATCTCTGTCTTTACCTTGTATCTGTCTCCTTTGCCATTTTAATCCTTGGGTCAGATTCTATTCAATTGTGCACTTAGATACGTTGATCTTATGAAAGTGTTTAAAATGAAGTACAGTAGTATCTCAGTTTGCAAATGGTTTTGTTTATAAACAATTTGGTTCACAAACAGAAGTGTTTAGCAAAACTTCAGTTTGTTTGCATACTGCATCGGGGTGAGGAACATGACCTCACCCATCTTTCCCATACAAACACAAACATGGGCATCTTTTCCAAAGTCATAGAAAAATTAATTTTGTGAACCCAGGCACCACTGTGTAGGGGTAACACAGGCTGTTGCCCATTGGAGCCAGTGTGTGTTTTCTTTCCCTCTTTCTCTGCCCCTTTCTTGTCCTTCAGAAGTCAAAACAGGGCAAGCATCTGCAGTCCTTTGTCTCTATCAGATGGCCCAGACCCACAAGGCCAGGAAGGTTTGGGTGGGATAATGACATCAGCTATACAAGATTTAGGTTTTTCTTCCTGCCATTCTCCCCTGTTGCCTCAGGGTGCTAACTAAAAGGTTCTTGCCCCAGTATAAATTACTGTACAATTATGGCAGTGGTCTCACATGGCAGAAGGCCAAAGCGGGAATACCTACCACTTCCTGTTTCTTCAGCCCTAACTGCAACTTCCCTTCCTGTTTGCAGGTACAGAGAATTCAATCAGTTCCTCACGCATCATCAATATCCGCCCCACAGGCCACTGCAATCAGAGGTCATATAACTGTCTCTCTGCATCTGGTCAAAGGAGACAACAACTAAGCCACCATGAGTTGTGTGCTCCTTGCCACGTCCTCAACAAAATAAACCTGTCATTTTGTTCTTTTGCTTCTCTATTGCTCCAGAATACTTTAACACTGACCATGTGTCTTGTGATTTTCCCAGAGGGAACAAGGTCTAATCCAAAAGCCCTTTCCATATTCAGGCACTTACTGCTCAACAGGGCCTTCCAGTATTAAATTATGCACTGACAAAAATAAACTTATGTTACTTTTAACTCCATGAAGAAATATATAAATACCATTTAGGATGTTATGGTGCTTTATGGCAGGAAAGGCAGCAAATAAAACTACAACCATGACTGACTATCTACAGAGAATGTCCAAATATTCATATTCACATTGATCATATCAACAAAAAACATATCTCAGAAGAACAGAACTTCTCAGGAGGATGGCTTCATGAGCACTTTGAGATAAAAAACAAGCTGCTTATAGAATTCTGTGAATCACCAGGTCCGGAAAGAAAAAAACAAATTTCCTGGGGAAAATGTTAATTCAAATGAAATGAAGTCTCCAGGAGCTCCACGGTCAGTGTTGCTGTGAAGTGATCTGACTGCTGACCTGCTGATGAGGGAGGATGAAAGAAATAGTAGATGAACACATGTGTGTGCGCTGCCCTTGACTCTCTGTGGGTCTCCGCCAGAGCTTGAGAGGTGCCCATTCCCATCAGTGCAGGGTGGACGTTGACCCTCACAGACGGTTCACATCACATCTGAAAGAGTTTGCGGCGCAATAAAAGAGAGAATATAAAATAAAAAATAGCCTTTATTCCAAGGTCGTGGAGAGAAGTCCATGACCATAGACAGCCTGAGTCCCCTCTGCCAGAAGGTGGGGTATGGGATATACATGTAACCTCTGACGGGGTAGCGCTTAGGGCAGGCATTGAAGATGCGCGAGGAGCTGATTGGACTTATCTGTGCCTGCAAACAGGAAGGGGAGTTGCGGCGATTAGGGCTGAAGAAGAAGCAGGAAGTGGTAGGCCATCGTGCTTTGGCCTTCCACCATGTTAGACCACCGCCATAACGATACAGTAATTTATTCTAGTGCGAGAACCTTTCAACATCCAGTTGCTTCCTGAAATGAGCAAGAAGTGTAAATAAAGGCTTGTCAATTAAATGTTGGATAAAATGGAATTTATGCAAAAGCCAATATGCATTTGATTTTGGGCGAACACATTGTTTTTCAGTGTTAGTGCAGGAGCTACCGAAAAGGTCAAAGCTAAGTAGAGTTTATGCTGTACTTTACATGTCCCATGAACTAATGTCACCATCTAACAACTGTTAGGACTGTAATTTGCTATTGTTTTACAATTCAGATTTCTGTATTTTTAACTTAGTTTGCAGTATATTTCAATGTATTTATTTCCAGTGTCTGACAATTTGACAGCTCCAGGCTCTTACCACTGAAGTGTTCAGCATCTTGCTTTGTAATACTCGGCTTTCTGCTTAGTTTCTGTGAGTTGGTGAGGAGACTGCATTCAAGTACCAAGAAACTCAAGGGAAAGGCAAGAAATGTTACAGGATAAAAGTTCTGTTCAGTGTATATTTTTAATTGTGTTGCATTATTAGCTTATTTTATTTTATATTTGCAAAATAACACTTAATATTTGTTGAAGTCACTTAAATTTGCATATTCTATATCTACACAAAAGAATAAGGTAGGAAATGTCAACATGAAGCTTAAGTTAAAATTCTGAGTCTGATTCATTACATCAGAACTTTAAATTTCTTGGCTTCTGAAGAGATAAACTGTGCTATTAGTAATTCCCAACACCTGTGCCATAGGTACTTAAAATATTAAGGTTTCCTCTTATCTTTTGTATCAAAATAATCAGCATGAACCTCTCTGTTGGACCCTGAGACACAGGTAATGAAGTTGTTGGAGCCTGCAGGCATTCTGACTAGATTTATTAGCATGTGCCTTGTGCCTATTTCTCTGTGATTTAAGGGATGCATGTGATGGGGAAGTCATGTGTGCGCTGTTGCGGTAGCTCCTCACTGTGCTCCATCCTTCTCCCCTGGTTTCCCTCAGTGGTGCTGCACAGTGGGCGTGGGTAAAGACATAGTGTCGGGGTTGGGGATTTAGCCCAGCGGCAGAAGCGCCTGCCTTGCAAGCAGGCAGTAGTGAGTTCGATCCCTGGTACCGATAAAAAAGGAAAAAGAAAAAAAGACATAGTGTCAACCCTGGTCCAGAGTGGCTCTCATCTGGCTCTTGGGAGTCAGCTTCCAGGGTGCTGCAGAAGCATCTTGCATTTATCTCTTGTTAAGAGGTTCACCTTCCTTCAGCCAGCAAAATGCAGATGCAATTCATCAGCATGGAGTGGGTTTGCTCATTTTCCATTCATCCTAGTAGAGATCCACGTGATCTGTGACACTTGACAACAAGCCTGTGCTCAGAACCAAGCTGGTTTAGGCCAAGAAACTGTACATGCCATGGAAGAAGATCTTAAAGCCTGATCTGCTCTAGTTTATGTTACAATACAAATACGGTTGTCTGCAGTCCTTTATGATAACATTTCTGCTTGCTACTAGAGATTAATTTTTTTCAAAATTGTATCAGTGACTCAGATAAAACATACCAGTTGAATCATGATAAAGAAAATAAAAAAATAATTGAAGGAAATTGTGTCTATGTTACATTGCTTTTGTCAAACCAGACCCTTGGAGTACCCTTGGAGAGTTGTGTGTCTGTTTCTGTCTTACTGTGTTTGTGCCTCTTCCCACAGAATACAGTTAGTGTAGCTATGGATGGGGGCGTGGGTCAAACTGTTAAAAAGTGCTCTCACAACTAATGAATTTTCTCTTACCTGCAAAATGAAATTTAAATCCATCCCATGTCTTCGTTAAATAATTTTTAACAGTGCTAAGTTTAGAACTTCTTTCTGACAAGATTGAAATAAACAAAAGCAGTGATCCTTCTAATATCATGGATATGCTACAGTTTTAAATTTTTAGGCAGTATCATTGGAATTACACGGATTAAAACTGATTTTAACAAGACAAGGTGACCCATGTGAGGTCACTTAAACACTGTATTTGTTAGGTCTGTGCTCATATGAATCTCACAAAAGGGTGATATCGTAGTGGAAAAATTTTGTATCAAAATGAAGTTTGTCTCTCATGTGTTGATTTTTACTTGAATTACCCATTTTCTAAAAGTAAGGTATCTTTGCCTATCTGTAAATATTTTCACAAAATATTACTTAAGCTTTTGCTCGTATTATTCTTGCCGATTTACAGCTTAATTATTATTTAACTTTAGAAGACTGCCACCAATGTGCATATTTAGTGTTTTCAGAAAAGGATGTATTTAGAGGAAAGCCAAAAAATTGAAAATCTTTCACTGCTGAGAGAGACAGAGAGAGAGACAGACGGACAGACAGAGACAGACAGAGAGATTCAGCAGCTCTAGGATGAGTTAAACATGACCACCTATTGTTCTGAATCCATCAGCAAAAGAAAACTAAACAAAACTTCCAAAATCTTTTGATCTATACCCCAGCCAATGGAGATGACCAGATTTTAACATACCCCAACAAATCAATAAAAGCTGGTCTCTTTCTCCTGGGAACAGCAGCTTGGTTACTCTACACAGCAGTTGTTGACTGCCGTCTGCTCGAGTGCAATTATTTACCTCCCTATAAAGCTTGGCCTGTGCATGCTTGCAGTGTTCAGCTGGTCTCTTTTGTACCATCTATGGGTCAAAAGATTCCATTGCCCAGCATTAACAACAGTTTGGTTCTCTAAAAAGCCTCTTTCCCCTCCTTTTTTCAGTTTCAAGTGAGTTTGGTGATTAACTCTTGAATGTTTATATTTTAGCTTACACTGAACTAAACTACACGTAATCTTTAATAGAATAACAAAATTATGTTTGCTTGCTAGTCTGGTTTGCTTGTGTAATTAACATAGGGAGAAATCTTAGAAAAAAATCCTTTTTTTTGGTGTTAAGTGTAGAACCCATGTCTCTGTGCATGGGAGGCAAGTGGCTTACCACGGAGCTACACTCCACAGCCTTAGAAATGGCTTCCAGAAGATGATTTGCAGGTCTTTTCTTTGACATTTCATTACTGATATAGCAAACTTAGTAGTAGTTTAATGCCAGGCAGAGATCAATAGCAAACTGCTTTTCAGTTATGACTTCAATATGAAAAGTATAGGTACAAAACTTTGCTCTTTCATCCATCACTAGGTTTATGAGTGAGACTCTGACAAGAGGTGGCAGATGAATGAGAGAAAAATACACACATTCATTTATTATAAGTTTTATATGAAAAGAGAGTCTTCAGAAATAAGACCCAAAGAAAGAAGTTTGTGCATTTCTTTGATTTGGCGTGGTGAAGAGTAGATGGGCATGTGGAGTTATGGGGCTGTGATCTGGTAGTAATAAACAAGCAAGTCCTGTTTAAAAGATTCTTCATGGCATTTCTGTGTCTTTAAGGATAAAGAAGTTCCTAGGAAGGGTTAACATACACTTAAAAACAAAAATTTGGTACCAAGAAACCATAAGTTCTATCAGAGCAAAAAAATAACACAACTGAGACTCAGAAAACAATACAGAGTCAACAAGTCAAAGAATTGGTTCTTTGAAAGAATAAATAAAATTGATAAGCCCCTAACCAACCTTATCAAAAAGAGGAAAGAAAAAACTCAAATTCATTCAATAAGTGATGAAAAAGATAAAATCACTACAGACCCTGTGGAAATACAGAAGATCATCAATGTTTCAAAAACATATACTCTCATAGGTTCAATAACACAGAAGAAATGAGCAGATTCCTAGAAACGGACAAATTACTAAAGCTGAATCAAGAAGATATACAACTGTGGAATAATCCAATTTCAATGAAATTGAAAATGTAATAAAAAACTTTTCAATGAAGCAAAGCCCAGGGCCTGATGATTCACAGCTGAATTCTACAAGAAATTTAGGAAAGACTTAATGTCAATACTCCTCAAAGTCTTCAAGGAAATTGAAAGGGGATCAATTCTGTTAGGTCTGGGAGAAGGGGGGAGGCGAGGAGAAGTCCGCGGGAGGAATGGAGCGGAGTGGACGGCCGTAAAAGTAGTGGTCAGCGGTGGCTTTATTCCGGGAATGCGGGGAGGGGGCCCCCGCCGCCGGCCCCGGGCATCTCTGTACCCGGGGCCGGTGGTGTCTCCGGGAACACGGGGAGTGGAGACTGGCGCGCTGGAGTCTGGCGAGCTCTCTCTCTGGCGAACTCTCTCTGGCAAACTCCTCGGCGAACTCTCTCGGACACGTGGCGTGGGAGATCTAAATAGCCTAAGCTTAGGGCAGCACCCTAACTTCATTAGAGATGCACAGATATCTCATTGGCGCACAGGTCCTTAAGGATGGGGATACAGAATTACAATCAAGTCCATAGGGGGCAGGGTGGGGGAGGAGTTTAGGTGCAGCCTTTTCTGGTTACAGTGTTTTATCTGGGCCGGCAACTCTTTCATATCCCGTCTTCTGGTTATTAGGAAAAGGGGCGAAGATCTCTCTCTGTAACTACTTCCTGCTGGCTGAGGGCGCTGTATTGGGGTCTAGGGGAGTTTGACGGGATGAAGGTTGATGCCCAGGTAGACACTGATGCCAGGTGTTTTAGCCAGGACAACTTCACTGGTGAATGTATGTATGTCAGACTGGAAAAACAAAGAGACATAATGTTATTAGGAGACATGGCACTATTATATTTAAGGATCCAGGTGAGGTAGATAGGAAGGTGACTTTGGTTTTGAGATGGTATTTTATCAGGGTGACGTTGAGGTGGCAAGGCAGAATTCTGAAAAATAAACGTGGGATTAGGAGGAGTGAAGTTATGAGAGGTGTTTACTCCCCCCTATGAAAGCATAAAAGTTAAAAGGTAGGTAGGTAAGGCTTGTCTCTGGTATATATGATGTTGGAGTCTGTAGGCAACCGTGTTAAGGACTCCTGCTATAGAAATGATTATTAATAGAATGTAAGAAATTAAGAATCAAACTGGACAACAAAACATGACAACCTGTGAGTCATAAGGCAGAGATGAGCATCAAAAGGATGGTTAGATTTAGGGCCTGAGTGATGTGAGACCAGAATGGCAGTTTAAAAGGGAATAAAAGCATTTTATGATTTAGGATTGGGGCCTGTATAAAAATGGGCCTGTTTGTAAATGGCATAGGTTGACCATCAATACCATGTCATAGAGATTGATTTAATATAGCAACCTGAATACTCAGGAAGAATCCTGTATATATGGCCTCTATGTCCACAAATATAGAGAATGTCTTACCTGAGACTTTAGTGTGACTTGGAATCTGAGACGGACACCTTAAAGGGGGCTGTTGTTGTCTTGAACCCCCTCAGCCTCCAGCAGCGATTTTTTGTCGGTGACGAATCTGGCAGTGTCGACATTTCCTATGAGGGCTAGAACTTAGGATGGCTTACCCACTCTCTGGTGGCTAGGACAGTCCAGTAGCCCTGGAGTAAGGTCTCAAAGAATGCCAGGATGGGGCATTTTTTGTCCAGTATCTTCTGCTGCATTTGAGCGTGGTCCATGGAGGGGGTAGGCAGCTCCACCTTGTGTAGGTTTACCTGTCTCAGAACTCCAAGTGTCACAAGTGTTAAAAATATAAAAAACCATATTAAGATCTCTCTAAGGTTTGAAGGTCAAGTTTTGCCTTTTTGTTTGGGATTTGGACTATAGTAGAATTAAGTAAGTATAGGTTTAGCAATCTTATGAATAAATCAAAACTGATATAATACTGTCAGATTTTGAACACAGTTACTTTTAAAGTTGTTATTTGCAGTACTATGAACCACGACAAATAAAATAAAACTTTGAAGAAAACCCTTGTCTTGAAATAGAGCTAGTGGTTTCCAGCAAAAAGGAATTTATAACCTTAGTTGTTAAACAGGAGATTGGTGAAGGCTTTGATCGATAAACAAGGCTGGTAAAATTATCAGGTGGCCAATAACTTTGATTAAATGGTTTGAGAATTGTAATAAAAGCATCTCTTGAGCGGAGCCAAATTGTAAAAAAAAGCATGCCTGAGCAGAGCCGCTGAGCTGCTGTGTGTGCGGTCCCGCGGAGAGGTAGGCAAGGAACCGTAGAGTGGGCGGGGCGAACGCGGGACACTGTAAGCAGACAACGGAGGCTTACTGTGACGTGCTAATTGTTATGCGGCACCAGTGGCAGCCTGTGTGTGTGGTGCCGCAGAGGGGCAGGCAAGGAACCGCAGAGTGGGCGGGGCGAACGCGGGACACCGTAAGCAAAGAACGGAGGCTTACTGTGACGCGCTAAGCGGCGCAGGGAAATGACGTCGTTCCGCTGCGATCGCGTAAGGGGGTGGGGCTTGGAGGCCCCGAGTGGTGATCCCAGTTAACGCCTGGCGCCAATGGGAGCTGCGGCTCGCCTTCGGTCCCCTGGAGGGACGGGGCGACGGCCGAGGCGGGCAGCAGAGATGGTGGCCGCGGCGGGCAGGGGCAGTCAGAGGCAAGGCTTTGCTGATCCCAGTTGGCGCCTGGCGCCAAAGGGAGCTGTGGCCCGCGTTCGGTCCCCCGGAGGGGCGGGGCGACGGCCGAGGCGGGCGACAGAGGGGGGTGGCCGCGTCCCGGAGGGGTGGGGCGGCGGCAGAGGCAGTCAGAGG